AACCCTAAACCCTAAACTCAAGCAAGGAAGCCGTTTCAACCCCCTCTTTAAACTCTTAGGATGCTTGAAATGCTTCGGGGGTTTAGCGTTTACAAGGTGGTTGACCAAACCCCCTAAGGGTTTAGGGGTTTAGGGTTTAGGGGTTTAGGGTTTAGGGTGTAGGGTTTAGGGTCTAGGGGTTTAGGGTTTAGGGTTTCTAGTTGAGAAGTATACCTTAGGAGGACCCCCCCCACCCTCTAATCGTGACTATAATGCATGATAAGGACTATATTAGGGTCCTACTATATTCCTACTACACCACTATTACAGGGTGGGGGGTCCACCTAAAGTATACCTGAACTGAGGGTATATGCTAGTTTTTGTAAATGCCCTACCCAAACTTTCAAAAACCGTTGTTATAGAACCCCCCCGATAAAATGAATCCACCTAATTTTGGTAAGCTCTAATCCCTATAAATCGTTGTGTGTCCATCTACATATACCCCTGTATCCCCCTTTCAAGGCACCTCACATTCTTTCATTGAGGGGTGTAGGGCGCTCTGGGTTCAATCTGCCGATTTGCAAGTTTTGCCCTGAAAGCTTTGGACATTGAGACTATTTAGGGTTTGGGGTTTAGGCACTCAACCCTACACCCTAAACCTTATACCTATAGACCCTGAACCCTATGAGCAGTCCTTGATTGCTGTTGCGCCCTGACAACCGTGGCGGACATAACATTTAAGCAGAGCCGCAAGCCTTTCAGAGCAGCCCTCGAAACAGGGCATCGAAGCATAACAGGGAACTTCAACAGGTTCTTGGCTGTCCCTTTTCCATCGTCTGAACGAAAAGCCCGAAACAGTGTGGTCCATACCCTGAACACTAAACCCAAAATCCTGAAGCCTATACCCTAAACCCGTAGCATTGCCAGGACTATCCCATGGGAGACCTTCGGTACATGCGCAATACTTACTGCACAGGCATCCAGTCACGAAAGCTGCATAATTTTCCTTCATGAAAGATTAGGCTGTGGAGGTTAAAAAACTACAATGTTATGGCATATATGGGAATACTGGGAAGATCGTGGAACTACTCTGTAGGATTTAGGGATATTACCCTAATAACGGAGAACCAGGAGGAAAAGAATGGAACATGAAGTGGAAACCCCTACCCCTGATCTTGAGTATGTCCCGGAATCTTTAAGGCCCGGGAGAGTATCTAGTGTGAGGGGTGAGGTTGGTGTTTATGAAGAGATTTGTCTAAGTAACCCTAACCTCTAACCCTAAGTATGGACTTCGGATCACCATTCCTCAGCCCCCTAAACCCTATAATATCATCACTAACCTCTTGGGACCCATGTTGGGGTTACATCTTAGCTTCAGGGGACGTGCTTCGATCAGGGTAGTTCTAATCCAGTTATAACACTACTCATACAGAAGCCCAGCTACAAACCCCCTAGGTCCCCAAACCAACTACAAGCCCCCTAGGTCAGGTCCCCGCATGTTGTTGTCATTCGGTTGTAAGTACCAGTTGGATTTCATGGGTTTGAAGTCGTGTTTGTCCAAAGCAAGTGTGCGCAGCATTTGCCAAAGTTCTTCCCAACTAAGAAACATGTCAGAGCTATAGTCCTCCTTAAGTAGATAGCATATACCCTAAACCCTAAACCCAAAATAGTAGTTTAAATTCTCTTTTCCATTATCCCAATATAACCCCTATATCTACTTAAGGGGGACTATAGGTAAGCCCTAAACCCTAAGCCAAGGCCGAAGTACGGGTTTCTGGGCTGCCTCCGTTCTGCGGTCATAAGGGCCTTATTAGGGACTAAATCAGGGCCTTATGAGGGACTATTCGAAATTCGGGCCTTATTTACAAGATCTAATCCTCAAAGAGTTTGGGGATACTTTAGGGCGAGCCTGCGCATGTGTGTGCGAACGGGGCAAGGCGGATGGTCCCATGCTGAGAAGTTGAGTAGTGAGTCATTTTGGATAGTCTTTGAAAAAAATTGGAACATCAAGAAGTGCGTGTAGACTTGCCATCTGATTTTCTTGCGTGAAGCTGCGAAGCAGACCCGTAGCCCCAGTTTGCTTTGTCCTTGGCATGTGCTCGCCTATCACCTGCCCTGCCATAACGAACAGGATCCTATGCAGCTATTCTGGATGCGCAGTTCCGGCTAATGGAACTCTCAAAGAGTCTTGCCTGAAACCATGGAGGGGCTCTACTCGGCAGCGGAAGCATTTGAAGATGTCATCTTGATTGTCCACATAGTGCAGGGCCTTACCAGGTAGGCCCCTGGGACATTTCATATTTTCGCTAATGGCTTTAATAGAGAGCCCTATATACAAATAGTTGTCAAGGGGTTTTAGCTTGTTAAAAGTCTTTCGTTGGTTTTTCATCTCATTTTCGAAGGCCCATGCTCCTAGGACTTGTGCCCCCAATGAGCTATCCTGGGTTGGCTTCACATCAAGTAGTAAAGAAGGACTGGTCTCAAACTCTACAGCCCCGAATACCATACAAGATTGTCTTGATTCTGTGGGCCATTTCAGGATCCAACAACCCTAAACCCTAAACCCCTACACTCAGGATTCAAGTCAACAATGCTTCATGGGAAGATTCCGCTTCTTGGCTATTTGAAGTCGGGATGTGGCAACAGTATTGCGGTCATGTCGTGAGCGCTTGAGCACCAAACTCTCTCGAAGGTGCATACCCAGAGGATCCTAAGTACCCAATAATTAGGTAATTGGGTTTAGGATTAAGTAACTATGATATAGGTTTGGGGTCAGTACAGTATATGAATATTAGGTACTTGGACCCTATAGGATAGAGATTTTGATTTCAGTGCATAACCGTATAACACTATTAAATGGCTCTGGACCACTTTATACAGAAGCTACACCCGCTCAATGAGCAGTTATCTGTGGATCTTTGAGCCGCAAAGGTCCACAGTACTTTTAGGGTTTAGGGTTTAGTATCAAATGCTAACGTGGGTAATCAATTAGTTCCCAGAATGAGGGTCCCGTTTTGGTACCCCTCAATATAAGGTGCCGTATTGTAAGCTTTGACCAAACGGGGCCCGTAATTTTGAGGACAAGAAACATGCTATCATGTAGTCATCGGAGGCCTGAGCTTCATGAGCGCGATGACTGCAATACTTTGCGAACATTTCAAGAACATTTGTTCGTTTGATTCCCCATTATTCGGCTATAAACCTCCCCCTAAAACCCCGAAACCCCCAACCAAAACCCCTATATTACCCCTTAAAGTGGGATTCTATAACCCTCCAAACCCTAAACCCTAAACCCTCCAAACCTTGCGAAGCCTCATCGAGGTGATGGATGTCCGGCTTTTTGCTCATAGCAGCGGCACCATCCTAGTTAGCCCCTTTGGAGCGCAGTTAAGTAGCGGTTTCCCAAAATTAAGGGTCCCTTTAAAGGGGGTTAAGTAGAGGTTTCCCAAAATTAAGGGTCCCTTTAAGGGGGGTTATACAGGAGTGTTCAGGGTTTAGGGTTTCGGGTTTTCCAAATTTAGGGGACTCTTTTTGGGGGTCCCTCTAATAAGGACTGTAGTACTTTGGGGTTTATATTGGAGTACGCTATTGTGGGAAACTGCCATTTGTGGAAGCTACCATACGTGGATTGAGACTCCAAACACACACTGTCCTTTGAAGGGCTTTTATGGAGCTCCACATGTGTTGGCTGCAGCCAAAGGATTTTCATAGAATTTCATGGCTAAGCTTACTTTCTGCCGTGTGCTGCGCAAGTGATGAGAATATCTCAAACCCCCAAACACCCTCAAGCACGCAAGATGTCATACCCCACCCCAACACCGAGAGCCGAAGGCTTTATGGCCTACTGCCTGCTTTCTTTGACCCACATCTTCCTAGCGCCGCTCCACTTGGAGGCTCACTGAGCGACTCTTGATCTTGGGGATTCTGCATGAGATTTTGTGAGCACAATTGCCGCAAAGCGGCTATGACAGTAAAGCTTGACACAGATATATGTACGCCAAAATCGATTCGTAGGATCCTTGTAACATAGGTTTTTGAGCTACTTGACTTGTTTTTGGGGACACGTTGTACTGCGCAGCTTATACTGCTACGTACTCCTGCTGCTGCTACTACTACTACTAATAACAATGACTAATAATTGCAATAATAAGAAGAAGAAGCGGTGATACCTCCTGGCCGATTTTCCGACAAATGCTCAAACCCAGCGAAGGGTGATGGAAACATATCGTTTGCGATCTCACCGTCTTCAAAGGGACCATTGCATGCCCGACATTATTTGCCCTATGCCGTTCATCGCGATAGTGAGCACATGAAGCCAAGAGTTCGCCGTGCTCCTTTCTGAACTTCGGCGCGAAACATGATGCGATCTATTTTGTGTTTTGCTACACTCTTCTGCAAACTCTCCTCTGCAAGCTGAAGCTTTGCCAGGTCTTCTTTGGACGACTGTCTGCGAAGCTGCAGGCATGCGGACTTTACGTGAGATTTTTGTCAAATCGTTTTAGATCTGGTGAGACTGGGTAGGAATTTGTTCTGCCAAGTTCGGTAGCATCATGCCTGGTACGGGTTTGAAGGGCCTTGGATGCGCGGAAAGGCAGTTTGGCAGTTTGTGTTCGAATTACAACCACGATGACCTTTACATGAGCTGCTGTCAATTCTAGGCTTATGAAGGAATCCTTGATGGTGGACAGAAGAGTCCTTCTTGTAGTCTAGCATGGTCCCTGATATCGTCAGTAATAAGAACCCTAGGTCCAGGAAATATTGACTGTGGCTCAGATGTTTTCCACAGGCTAGCCTGCTCTTGCGAGTTCCAGTACGGGATTACAGCTTGGAGTTTTGGGTTTGCGGATCGGGGCCTGGGACGCTCGTGATGTGTGTTAAGGGTTTAGGGTCTCGAGTTTTCAGCAATGGCTGCTTGGTAGGGGGAGTCACAAGAGACAGCCCGGTACACTTTCGAATGATCTAACTAGTAGCTTCCATTCTTCCCAATGTAACATGAACCTTATATCTGGTAGGATGTGCTTTTGAGAAGAGACACAGCGAACACAAAGCTCCCAAACTCATGATGCCGACAAGCAAGGAGGTGTCTAAGCGGACAACCTTGACAGAATGCGTTTCGAACTTTGTTGTCAGCTGGTGATGGGCACATTTTCGGACAAGAATCCCTCAAGAGGACCATCAGCAAAACCCACTCAAACATACCCTCATTTTCCGAAAGCCTTGTACTTGCAGATGGCCGACATTCAAAAGGTTGAGGCCTGGAATGTTCTGGCGATGTGGTTCGCGAGGGGTGCTTGGAGTGTTGTGCGTCAAGTTTTGGTCTTTGTGGCTTAGGGAAGAAAACGTTTTCCCGGTCAATGGTGCGGAAGAGCAGTATGTTGAGGCGGCTTGTGTCTTAAGGATCGAAAATGCTTACTTATCATCGGCTTATTCTGTGCATGCGCTTTCGGATATAGGGCAGTTTAGATGAAGGACTTACGGTGTAGAGTCAATGGCTTAAACTTTGGGTGTAGGGGGGTGGGATGATGCAGGGTTTCGGCATGAAAAGGTTGTGGCTGAGGCGTGATTGATCAGGGTGTAGTGGCCGGTGGCAGAAGGTGAAATCAATGTTCGTAGGGGCGGTTGTGAGGCTGTGATTCATGGGTTGCAGTTTCCTTCCTTTGCATTCTTCTGCATATTGGGTAAGCGTGGTTCTGCTGCGTGTTCCCGGGATAATTTCAGACTCCCGCGGCTCGAGAAAACGTGATCTTTTGCTTGCATTGCCATGCCCTACCCCAAACCTATCTTCTAAACTTGGTTGTAAATATCTTTGGCATTGTAAAAGTACCGCCCAGCCTATTTTCTGACGAGGACTGCTCCGTCCCTGACAGCCCCAAGAAGAACCTGGGCCTACTGGAAAGGCACGGCCACACCTATCTTCTTGAGTTCCGGCTGCTTTAGACAAAGAAGTCTGTGCATTGCCTTGTGAAGCTTACATAG